TTTCCCTCTCTCGTTCTCTTTTTGTCACTACCTTTCTGCTCTCCTGGCATTTGTCTTAAACCCAGTCTAGCCCCTTCCTCTTAGATATACTTATCCAACAACTTTTACCTGGGGGTGCGGTCAATGACTGCCTAGCAGCATTTACACCTCCAGACCAGGGCAACGGGAATTCTTATCGTTTAGGTCCTTCTGGAAGGCCTGCTAGATAGGTAACGTTAAAAGCTCGTGCACCACAGGTCCTAATAAAAGTAAACTGACGTTTTTATTACTACAGCCGAGCACTTAGTCAGAGCGCAACGAAATCAGAAAATAGCGCCGAATCGAGGACTTGGGCGAATTATTGTCACCACCACAGCATAGGTGTGCGCTGGTCAGGTTACGGAACGTGCTTGCCCGTCTGAACCTCAAGGTCTGAGTGTCTAAGATAAAACTGGCCAAAAATTGACATAACCCCTCTTGAGTGAATGAAAGAAAACGAAAAACGGAAGCCAAGAGTTTAATGCGACAGCAGTAGATAGGAGTTATACATTCTGTTTGGCGAACTCCCAAAGAAAATCATTGTCATGATGAGCCCAAATTATGGTACCATGTAAGAAATAATTCCTCTACCTGTGTGGCAACTAACGCCCTCACATGACTGATTCGTACAGAATTTTTCATGACACCAACGAGTCTACGTCTGTCTCTTCGGCTGCTCGATTCGCCACCATCATCAGTGTCTACGCTTCTCCCAATGGCCATCTCCGACGAGTTGAAGAACAAATTCTACGAGGATCTGCGCGTCCTCCTGGCGACTGTACCGAAAGTGAAAAAGGTGGTGTTCCCCGGTGAATTCAACGCCTGCGTCGGGACAAACAAACTGGCTGGGGGAGGGAAGGGACAGAGAGAGCTGGATCCGCATAGAATCGTTGGCTATAATGACACAAGTCTCCTCCTTCTGCGAACCTGCGCAGAACACCGTCTCGCCTCCTCATGAACACTTTCTTCCGTATTTCGACACGAGTGGAGACAATCTGGATGCAGCCCTAGATCGCGACGTTGGCAGCTGCCGGACCACGTTCTCATCCAATGGCAAGATTAAAAGGGCATGCTGGTAACGAAGACGACCTGTGACGCTGACGGCTGGCAGGATCACCGGCTCTTCACCCCCATGACAAGGGTCCGCCTGCAACCTCACAGGAGACAACAAGAAGGTAAGCGACCGCTAGGCAAGTTAAATACTGTTCTGTTCACTGCTTACATTTCAGCGACCAGTTAGCCCAACACCTGGAAGAACTGCCGGTCTCTGTCGGTAACACCACTGTGGAGACATAGTGGTATCAATTGAGGAACATCATCCAATCCGCCGACCTGTATGTCCTCGTACGCGCACTTCGCCATCACAAGGACTGGCTCGACGACAACGACGCAGGCATCAGCAATAAACTCGCCGAAAATAACAGCCTGCACAAGGCCTACATTGATCCCTGGACCGATGCAAACAATGCAGCCTTCTTCTTCACATGTCGCCGCCGTCTGCAGCAACGACTGCGGGAGACGTAGAACGTCTGGGTGATGTACAGGATTGAGGAAATGCAAGTGCATGCTCACCGCAATTAACCGAATAAGTTCGCCTCGATCAAGATGATTTACGGCCGCGCAGCCAAAGGAATCGTTCCGCTTCTCAGATCCGATGAAATAACACTCCTGACAGAGAAGTCAAAAATGCTGAAACATTAAGTCGAGGGTTACATAAGTGCCCTCAACCGTCCATCAGCGATCTTCAACGCCGCTATTGACTGACTTTCTTCAGTCGAAACGAACAACGACCTGGACTTCACGCCATCCCCTTCATAAACAGTTAGAGCCGGCCATCTCGAGGGAGGTCATCTCCCAGAAAGCCATTGTGACTTTCGACGCCACCGCGGCATCATCGGAGGGGTCTTTGCCGCTCGCCAGCTGCAGAAAAAATGCCAGAAAATGCGGACCTACCTCTGCATTACCTTTGTGAATCCGGTGAAAACCCTGGACATAATGAATCGCGATGGACTCGGGGAAACCATGCAGAAATTCGGATGTCCTGAGCAATTCACACACATGGTACGACTGGATGATGGCGCCCGACCTGGACATCAGGACAGTCTCAGGAGCATTAGCTGTGCCAAAAGGAGTGAAACAGTGCTGTGTACTCGCCCTCAACTATTTTTAGTCTCATGCCATGCTGATGGACGCTTATCGTGATGAGCGTCATGGGATTCGCATCACCTACTAGACCAATGGCCAACTTCTCAACTATCGGTGCATGCAGGTCCCGATTCACCTCTCCCTAACTACTGTGCATGATCTGCTCTTCACGGACGACTGCGCGCCCAACACCGCAACAAAAGCAGTCAAGCAGTGGAGTATGGAACTCTTCGGCCACCGTTGCGCCCAATCCGGGCTAACCATCAACACGGACAAAACGGTGGTCACACATCAACCGACGCTGCATAAAATGTTCCTCGGATCAACGTCAACAGGACCCCAGTGAAAAGCGGAGACAACTTCGCATATCTAGGCATCACTCTCTACCGCAGCATTAACATCGTCGATGACTTGGCTCGTCAGATCTCCAAAGCCAGTCAGACTTTCGTGTGGTTGCAGAACTCTTTATGGAATCATCATGTTCTCCCCTTCAAAAGCAGGCTCAAGATGTACAAAGCTGTCATCTTGACGACGCTGCTGTATGGTGCAGAGACCCAGACGGTCTACATGAAATAAGCACGGCGACTCGGTCATTTCCACCCCAGTTTTTTCGGTGAATACTTAAGCTAAGGTCGCAGAACAGGGTCCCGCCACGGGGGGTTTTTGAACGGACTGGGATCTTCGGCATTCACGCTATGCTGAGGCAACTGCAACTACGATCAAATGGCAACCTTTTGGGGATGGACGATGAGCGCCTACCAGAACGACTCTTCCATGTGCATTTTGATACGGGTACTCTCCGACAAGAGGTTCAACCCCCCGCTACAAAACACCTTGGAGAATTCGTTGAAGAAATAACAGTTCAACAAGAAGACGTTGCCCGACCGTCCTGAAAAAAGCAGGGGAGACAGGAGCAGCAACCTCTGAAGTCAACCGAATAGTTACTATCGAAGCTAAGAGAGAGGTTTACAAGTCTCAGGCGACCCTTATCCTGTCAACATGTTTGCACTGACAATGAACATTTTTCACGCTGATCAGCCTCGTTGAGCCTCTCTGAGCCCAACACACCAATTGTCCCACAATCCTAGCTGCTGCTTTCCCAAACACCCTGCTTTAACCCCCACGGCGTCCACAACGACAATCAGCATAACCAATGATCATTGCAATCCCGGTTCCTCGCCACCGTTGATCATCGGCGCTACGATCACCCCTCCGACATCCTGTGCGGCGACGACGGCCATCTCCTCTCCCACTCCCGTCAACGACTATAAGGTTCCCGCCGGTTCGTCACCCCCTACCCTCGCCATCACCACCCCCACCACCAGCGATGTAGACTCGGTCCGAACCTGTTCTCATCGCGATCGCACATTCACCTCAAGCATCGGCCGCGTCGGCCACTTGCGAGTTCATCGCAGTGGGACCGCCTCCACTGCCCGCGCATACGCACTCACCGTATGGGCATATGCGGTTACATGAACCCCTTAGTAAGCGTAATTCGCTGTAATTCCAATCGGCTTGCAGACATTGCACACGCATCAGCTCTTCCATTTCCAGCACTACGAACCCCTGCCTGTCAGCGCGGTCAAGACTAGCGGCATCACCACTGCAACCGACTCAGCAGCTCCGAACTCATCGTCGCACATGCACGTCGCGCATCTGTCTGGTTGGTCGCTTGCCAACCAGTGGTACGGAGACTGGTGAACCAGTGCTTGGAGTACCGCCGTACCCCCGTCAAACTCGTCTGAACTGCCCACGCACACCCAGACACTGTATGGACTTTCCCGGCCATATGCGCCTCCATAAAGCCTGCGCTAAAACACCGTCGGCAAGACCCCATCACCTTATACATCCTTACCAGCACATGAACTACACACGCATCCCGCACGTACCACAGGCGAGGAATCGGCACCTCTCACGCACCTCTCTTCTCCATGATGCCCTTCTACTACTTGAACACATGTGAGCTCCGATCGGTCTACCTGGTCGTGCGTGTGGGAGGCGTACAGCAGCTGTCTCTATCTCTGTTAGCCACGGTTTCCAATATCAGCATCACTTGGTTGACCGGCTCGGACAATCGACTGGTGCACGGTAGAGAAAAGAGTACAGGAAGTTAACTCTCAGGATTTTGTCCTGATTATAAACAATCTGATGCGCTTGATACGACTACTATATCCTAAAGTCTGTCTAGGAAGCCTACCAATTGAAAAACCAACTCAGACCTCGCAGCCAGCCCAGTGTGTTTGTGTGGAGTGGCCTACTGGTGGACTGAGAGTGAGGCTCAATGGCTCCGCCTTAATTTGATCTTTATGGCTCTAGCATTCAAGTGGGATCCACACCTCCCCTCCCTTCTTACTGTACTAAATCCCGGTTCTTTATGCGTGGTCCCTGGGTGTGATGGAGCGTCTAGGCGCGGGTTCATGTTGTGCTAGCCGATCCCGCATCCAGTTTTTTTTGACTATTTTAACACCGGGCCTAAGCGTTTGAGGAGGGTTATAGTAGATACTGTACAAGTCTACGGTCATTATAAAACGGTTCACGCGCAATTCAACGTCCATCTGCCCGCCCTGCTGTGGGGCCTACGGTCAGTATCGTCGATTAGGAGGGTCGAACCGTCGAGTAGGCAAAAAGTGGTTCCGCAATGGATTGGGCGACCAACGCGCAGGACCAAACGAGGGTCAGACTGACTAACGGCACGCATCGGTCGGGCTGTGCAGAGTCCGCACGAGCCCATGACTCCTGCCGTACACGGGGACGAGTATGGTGGCAAACTTAGACGCAGGTATTCACGTCGCGCCGGACACTGCGCCCAATCAAACCGCCAGCCAGTTGACGGGTTCGGACATCCAGTTGATCCACGGGGGAGAGAGAGGAGTTAGTGGAGCCGAAGCTGTGTGGTCCAATCTCACGGCCCATCGGCAAATTTCTCACTATAATAAATCTTCCGCACTTCAATCTATCGAGACGGGCCAAAAGTTTCACTTGAATGGACTGCTAAACGGCGGGTTAACTCGGTTGTTCTCTGGAATGGAAGTCAGGCTCGATGGATTTTGCACAGTGTGACCCACTTGGTGCGACACACGGCTGACGTTGTCTTTCGTGACGGTAAAACTGTCGGGTAGGCCAAAAGACGGAGTTTGTCGTGCTGCTACCGATTTTAACATACGTCTTTCTACGCAGCAAGCCTATTGCTGTTGTCACTGCCTGTTCAGGGAGAATTACTCAATCTTCTTCAGGAGGTAAGCTCTACACCTACCAGCGCACCAAACTCTGTAAAAGCGAGTATTTTATTTGACTTTGACACAGATACAATGGTGGAGTTCAGTTCCTCGTAGACAATATCGTTCAGATCCTCCTGACTGGCCATCATTAAGGCGTAGTTTTTGGTAATTGATTAACTTCCTCCCAGAGAGCGGTAGTTCTAGTTCGATGGGCCGGTACTCGGTCCCACTCTGAAAGACAACAGACTTCTTCACAGGGTTCTTCCTAATGAAGGCGACTACTGCGTCACATCGTTACGTTTTTTTACAGCCGATCTATCAGAAACCGGCAATTTTCTTCGACTTTCTTTGGTCGTGTATCATCCAAGAATCTTGTCTTGCTGAGGACGGCAACGTTTACCTTAGGTTATGAGCTCGCGGGTGGCTCGACCTGCCCTCCCTTCTGATATGTTGGTCCTTGAGTCATTTAAATAAAAGTGGCATTGCAGGCTGTCAGCATGTGTGCAGTAGTGCCGAGGACGTACGATTAGATCGGTTTATGATGGCAGTTAATATGCTTCGAACCTGGGCGATGCTCGGTCATCCCATGGTCTGT